TTAGATGTTGTTTCTATAAAGGGATGTAAAGGAATGCTATTGTGCATTTGAAATATTGAAATTGTAATGAAACTTTATTTAATATTCAATGTTTTTGAATGAACTACAAAATTGAATGCAATTGCAAAAATATTGAAGCTTTGAGAGCCATGGGCAAAAAATACACTGCAGCCCATAGTGTTATGTGAAATAGTACTTGAGGTTGATTGTAAGCAAGAAACTCAATGAGTACAAATACTATATAACAAATTCCCATTTAAAGGGGTAATACATTTAGTTTGTTATTCTGTCTTCATACCAGGTGTACCCGTAGCAGTGGTAGCTTGTCCTAGGAGAGATACATGCGGCAGAGAAGTCTTCTCACATGATGTAAGTATAGTCTTCCCTCACGTACATCAAAGTGTATACCCTTTCATTGAGTGATTTACCACAGAACTAACCCATGTTGACAATGATTCCTATATGTTTGACATCACCCTCATCACTCTTGATGGTGAAAATGTCACCTTGAGAAGAGCGAGTCATCCAATAAGAGGTTTTAGGCTTTAACAAATTTGTGATTAGCACATTTTTTATACAGTAGTCTGTATAAAATGATCTGGAATAAACTTCTCAGTAGAAGAAATTCCTCAGTGGAGTACATTTTGAAAATACACACAGGAAGGGTAGTGTAAGATAACTAAGCAAATAGTTACGAAGCCCAGCATTAAGTGCATTCTATGAAAACCCCACACAGTCTTTCTTATGTCTGTTGTGTCGTATGATGAATGCTAGAGAAAAGAATGAATTCCATTCACTGTGGATATCCAATGTGACATGTCTATCTCAATGATGTGACACAATTTCACCCCATGAACATTGCAAATTTGGAGAAATATACTTCATTACTGATGTGTGATATCTGAATATTGTTCCTTTGTTGCAGATTTGATTGAACCCTTTCTTGTCTTAAAGGGATCCGGTAACTTTGTCTCAGATTCTGAAACAAAATTCCGGATTTAGCTCATGATGCAATGATAATTATATACCTTTTGGTCAGTCAGTAACCCCATGACTTTTACAAGCCAATCGCTTGTCTGATTATCAGATATTTATGATTGGAATTACAAATTTTGAAAACCGTTCGCCTGACGGTTTTCATAACACTAAGGTCGATTGGGGAAAACGAGTATGGTAAAACCGGTCACTCAAAGATTTTTACTTTTTTGAGGCACTTCTTGATCATTTTGAAGCGCAATTTTTTTAGGGCTTCAATATTACACCATATCACTGATAACACGTACGGCCGTGTATCTCAGTTTTAACATTGTTAAACGATCCCTTTAAGTTGTTGTGTTTCATGTTTATGACCTGCTTGTTTGTCTTTTGCAGACATGACTAGCTGTAACCCCCTTCCCCCTCTCAAATTCATATAGCGCCATATATTTTAGTTATGCTTAACTATGTAGTGGTAAAAGAGTTCAAGGATTTTCACTGTGTAACTTTATTAAATGTGTTATTTAGTCTTCAAATTTACTGCATGTCATTCAGAAATTATGTTTAAAATTTGTTAAGAGTTTGAAGTTGAACATGCATATTTAAACTTAAAATTTTTCCATTGTTCAAGAAAATTATTCTTACTTTTTTAATTTTTGTCATGAATGCTTTTTATTTTATCCCCTGAATTTAGGACCTCAAAGATTGTGTGAAGTTGAACAGAATACGAGATCATTTTATCTGTAAGTATCCCATGAATTTTATACCCCTTAGCTTTTGGCTCAGGAAAAATCCTCTAATAAGATCAAACAGTAAAATTAGAGATCAACATTTGTAAACAGCTATTACTACTAAGGTAAACAAATAATGATATTAGGAGCAGAGTAATGTATTATGATAATAAAGGGTAAGGCTGCGACGGGTAGTCGAATGCTCGAGTACCCGCACGATTGACAACTACTCGGGTACGATTTCTCGTACCCAAATATTCAGCCACAAAAAAAAAAAAAAAATTGTCCAGGCCCACGCTTACCCGTGCCAGGGAGAGCGGCAGCCGCTGGCATGGTACCGTCGGTAAAAATGTTTCCCAACTCAAGCACTGTCAAACTCACCTTTCAGAAACTGGGACCAAATGTCCAGATTTCTGTTTGGACTTGGAGGAAAATGAATTATTCTGCCATCTTTGGTTTTTAAAACAGCATTGTTTACTGTTATTATTCTTATTAAATCGGCGCCTTCAACTGCAACTCAAAGTAAAGTTGCATGCAGTTTCGGCGAGGGATCTGGGAAACTACCGAGTGGTATGGTAGTGGCAAAAATATCAACAAAATCAACAAAAAAATCAAAAAATCAAAAAATTATAAAAAAAAAAAATAAAAAAAAAAAAAAAAAAATTATAAAAAAACATGGCGTCCGAATATTCGAGTATTCGCTTGTGAGCCAGGGAGTGTACTCAGGTACTTCATTACACTGTTGTGCACAGCCTTAATAAAGGGTAAAGAAGAAGAGATGTACCCATTTCTCAATTATTTAAAGTGCATTCTATGAAAACCCCACACAGTCTTGTCTATGTCTGTTGTGTCGTATGATGAATGCTAGAGAAAAGAATGAATTCCATTCACTGTGGATATCCAATGTGACATGTCTATCTCAATGATGTGACACAATTTCACCCCATGAACATTTGTATTTTGTCATATGGAAATTTGTCAATTTTGTTTTCATATACCATGAAACAGAGCTGCCAACCATTCCGTTTTTGCCGGAATTACTCTGTTTTTTCCTCCTTATTATGGTCTTACGTTTTTTCTTCATAAAATACGTTTTTTAATAATTTTTTTTTTTTTTTTTTTTAACATACCGCACGTCAAACAACTGCCCTAAAATGGTGATTTGATGACAAATTCAATAGAAAACTAATTTTAAAACATACTTGAAGAGAAAAATATTCTCAAAAAAATGAAATGCCGATAATACCAAAATTACCTGCTTGTATGGAAAAAACAGCATGATGAATGAACATTTCTGCACTGGAAGTGTGTCGCGCGTGGTTGTAAGTTTCGTTTTCATGAATTCCTTTTTTTTGCTTGAAATTCCTTTTTTTTTGCCATCATGATTCCTTTTTTTGGTCGCACAAGGTTAGCAGCTCTGCATGAAAGGGTCAAAGAAAAAAAATCAAATATGAACAAGTTAGAAATGAAGAAGTGGTTATTTAAGTATTGATAAAATGTAATTTTTGTGTCATTTTGTTATCATTTCATATGTGTGATTCTAATATGTCTCCTACAAGTTCATGCATATACCTCAAGATATAAATTCTATGTTATATGTACCTTAAGTGGTCAACATCTTGAGGTCCTCTTACCACGATGTAGCAAAATTGAACCGTTCAACCTTACTTTTTGTTGTACCCTCACATCTGTATTCTAGTATTTAGATTGTGTCATGGCCTTTCATTTTGTTTTACATGTATATTTTTATAGGGTAAGAAAGATTTTGTATTTGTTGTTCATCTTTGCAATCTTGATTTGAATGAAGCAGTTTTTTAAGGTTGGTTAGAAGAGGCAACCATTCTCAATCATGTTCTTTCCAATGTTATTTTTCAGTCTCTGTGGAGTCGACTGGAGCTCTTCGTCCAGAAGTCCTAGTCTCGGAGGCTATCAATATCTTAAAATCCAAGTGTAAGACATTTCAACAGGACCTTGACATGCTGGGCAACCAGGATACAGACACGTGAAGTTACTCGTGCCTTAATGAGAACATGAACTCAATGGAAGTAAAGAGACTCTATGGCCCAGCGTTTTTCAACCAACCGCGAACCCCAAAATGTTATCTTCAATATGTTAAAAATATTATTTTGTGGTCAATGTACTAGATATATAAAATATATACCCCAAGGTGCCCCTGCAACCCGGTTGAAAGACGCTGATATAGCAAACCAAGGAAGCAGGAGATTAACTGGATGTTCCATCATTAATATTCTCCTGAAGAACTGTTGATTCTTGTTGTACTGCTTGCTTTCATTTTGTGCACACAGCGAGTGTTTATAATAAGTTATCAAGCAACTTGTGTACTCCTCAAAGTTATGGAATATAAGGAAAGCCTGCTAGATCACAGTACTCTATGATCATGTTTTATGATCAAAAACAGTGAAAAGGTCAACATTTCTAATCATGGAAAGAAGAGGAGAAATCCAAGTCGTCGTGAGTGCAGTGTTGCCATGCAAATTGTGGAAATTCCTTCTTACAAAGCCAAGGAGAGCAGATTATTCATCAGTTTGTCAAGTTACACATGTTTGATCTGTTCCATTATGATTGAATCTATTTTAGAAATGCATGTTTCACTTTCTGTACTTAGGGTTTTCAATGATTAAATTTTTATATAAATAGAAAAAACACTATTCTTAGACTTTGTTTTGTCAAGTTTTCTTTTTAATTAAAGATAAAGTTGAGTTCTGGTAATGCGATTGCATTGTGAAAGAAAAGATTTGGAATGGATCAGAAAAAGTTGATCATGTAGCATGTAAGTATTGGTGTGTACTGCAAGGTTCTGGAGTCATCAAAATCATAATAAATTTGGCCCAGTCTTGGTAAAGTAACAAGCACTGTACACAGAAAGATGTATATGTATATGGTACTACCGGTACACAAATGGTTTGGCAAATGACATTTATTTGTAATCTTGAATATTGTGAGAATTAATTTTCTTTTTTTTAGCAGAACTCAAGTTTATCTTTAAGTAAGCCAAGAGAATGAAAGATTCTTAAGTTATCTAAGTAGTCCCAGACTCCCAATTCATGAATGTATTGTATGATCAAATTACGTTCATTAAATAATATTGACGATTCACCAAACCATGTAATTTTTCTATTGGCAAAGTATGAGAGTTGAGGGTGAGGGAGAGGGAGAGAAAGAGAAAGAGAAAGAGAAGGGGAGAGAGATGAAATAGATGAGGTTTATAAAAAAAAGGAACTCTTTTACTTGTAATACACGTAATACTACAACAAAAAACAAGCAAAGTCTTCATTTTCTTAAGAACTTGACTGACTTTTTATTCTTGTTTGTATGCATTATACAAATGAAAACATGGCCACTTTGACATGGGGATACAGAGGTCTACTAGTAATTTTGCATGCACATAATCTTGCAAGTATATCATCAGTCAAAACAGTATGTCAACTAGTACTCGATATCTACCCAATTTCAAAGAAAACAAGAATACCTTCAATTTTTTTCTTCTTTTGTTCCAAAAATTTCACAGACTTGACACAGTAAAAAGCAAAGTATAACTACAGCATGTACATAAGAATCTCACCTTGCCACAACGGTGAGCTTGTTTCTTTTACAAATAAATAGAACGAAAATGTGGAAAGAAATGAAATACAGTGGTAACTTCCCTAAATCAGTACAAATAGTCTTTGGTTCATTATTCTATCCTCTTTCACTCAAGAAATTGTATCTTTTATCTTCAAGTTTTGCTTTTTGTATTGAAATAATGCTTACTTTTGTTTAGCATTTTCCGATATCTGGTAAAAATGCAGTTTTAATCCAGTGTAGCCCAATCCAGCATATAAAAGTAATTAATTACAAGGATTCAACACACATGTAAATCTATTTTGATACAAGTATGATTATTTTGTATGAATCAATTTGTGACCTTGACTATAAAAGCATTGCCCTTTTTAATACAAAAACTGCTGAATTACAGATTTCAGTTGAAAAATAAGGATGGTCTTGTGACTTCTCTGGAAATAAAACCATCATTTTTTAAAGTACTAATGATGGTAAATTATCAAAATTCATGATATATTTCAGCAGGGTTTTGAGAGTTCAATGCAAATCAATTTGAATACATGATTCTTTAAAAACAAAATCTGAATTCATAATATGGGAGACTCTCTTAGAAACATTTGAATGAACCATACAGATTTATCTTCATTTCAAAAGTGCAGATTGCAATTTTGCCATGAATACCTTGCTAACGGTGACTGTCCAAAAAGAAACAATGTATTACACAGTAAGTGCTCTTTATAAAAGACAAATGTACACATATATACAGTTTAGGCTTTGCAAGCATAAATAAGAATACATTATTACAAAGATAAGAAAGCATGATAAAATTCATGAGAGTGACAAGATTAATATCACCAACTAGGCATCCTCTCATTATTAAAATGCACATTACTTAATCATAAAAGACAATAAATTAAAAAGTTAATAGAAAGACAACATCATCATCCTTATCTCATTCAAATTTAAGAGGGTATTAAGTCATCCATCAAATAACAATTAGTACAATTTATAACATAACTATAAAGCAGTATGAATCGAAACTATTTGCATTTTTATGAGAAAAATGACAAAGAAACTGACTGACATTTGTTTTAAAAGTTCCAATCCATAATCAAAAGTTTGCCAATTAAATTTGCTTTCAAGGTTGAGTTGATAAAGTAAGAATGATTAGGCTTTGCAAATTAAGTCGGGTGGGTTTTTGATTTTACTTTATATTCCACAGCTTATTAATAATCTGAGAATATCTAAATTCCTTACATATCTGAATGCATCAAAATCCAAACTCACTGAAAGTATGGAGTGGCAAGACTTGAACAAACAGTGTACAATCTTGAACATATAAAAATGAAGAAACACTTTTTATAAAATTGTTTGGACTATTATTTCTTTCATATCCAAGATCTATTTCCATTCCTTTTGAAAGCTTTTAAAATATATTTGTTTGAGGATAAAGCAGATGCTTCATGCTTTCTTTTTATTGTTAGTGTATGACTGTATGTCAATGACTCATGAAAAACTGTGTCCTCAAAAGCACTCATTATGAGGTTAATATTCCTGCTTCTTAAAGTTTGCTGAATGTTTTGAACATGTTTGGTCCCTCTACAGCATTGCTGACTATACATTAATATGATTCAACCAGTATACATTCTCCAACTTATGTTTCTTCAAGTTACAAATATGAGAAATATTTTGGGAAAAGATTACTTTTTACCTCATTCCAAATAGTAACATTTTGATAAACCCATTTAAAATCACATAACCACAAAGTACTGGATATCAATTTTTAAAAAATCATTAATAGTACTACAGTTAACAAGATAAGGGATTATAAGAACTTATCAAGATAAAATTGAAGTACTGCTTCTTTCATTTGGTATAAAAAATCTTACATTGAAATTATTTCACTTGGAAAAGAGGTGGGGAAAATAGCAATAATAATCATGAAGTATAAGTACAGGCATAGTAATGGATTTTTAAAAAAAATTACATAATTGATATCAAGAAGAATGGAAGGAAGAAGAGAACATTTCAAATAATTATTTGGTTCTGATAGATTATAACAGTCAATGGGCAATTACAGATACGTCAAAGAATAAAACAATCCACATCTTGGTTTTTAATTTGTTCCATTAGCACCTATCTCATTTCACCACAGAAACACTGTTATGGTGTAAACATATTTGGCCCATGTATTGCAGCATAGCGAGAGGAGTACAATTACTTCATTTTTATCCTTGAGGAGCCTGAGGGGATAACTAGAGATACATTTCATTTGTTTAATCCAACATAGGTGACTAATTTCAAATGTGAAGAAAAATTATGCAGACGGGCGGTGAGTTTTCATATTCCTATTAAACACCTACTAAATCAAGTCTGGTCCAAGTGTATTTGGTCTGGTTGGACATTCTGAAAGCTAACTTGAAATAGACAGTACAGATGATAAGATGAAACTCTACTTAGGATTCACAACCTTTCACGTTACTGACATTTCTGTCTTACGAACTATCTGGATCCAACTCAACGATGACTAAAATACATTTTATTTCCAATGTGACTTTAAATCACGTACATGCAATCACATTTTTTTCCAGGAGGAACTTATCTATATATGTGGATAAAAAACTCTCTGAAAAACATCATGGAAGCATCGACTATCAATTGTTCATATCAACTTAATTTTTTCCATTAATAGTAATTTGAGTGCAATGAAACATGTCATAAGAAACCAGATCATGAAAAAGATACATATATTCCTACAAGGTAATTTGTCTATACTACTGGCAAACAGGTGCAACTATTTACAGATATTCTTTCATATTTTGTGCTTTGACTATCTTTTAGCCTGTCCTAGCTCCTGCAGTGCAATGAGCTGTTGCATATTCATTAAAAGTCACACATCTACAGGTATATCTAATACTGAATACTAAATGAGGCATCACTCGATCTACTTTGTGTCATCAAGTTTTCTTCTTTACTCTAGATTGCAATTTACACACTTATAAGAAGAGACTTTATGATGATATAGTATTTTCCATTCACAGAATCAAACTTTGAGCATTTCTATTAAATTGTCTGGTAATTCCCTCTCCCTAAAAACCCTACTCATTTGAATGAAACATTTATTGGATAGAGAGATAGAGACTATAACACTAATTGCTCTTGTATACATCAGGTTGTAAGTATTATCTCTATCAATTCTACATATGCTATACCACATTATAACCAGACTTATCTATTCTGCCCTTTGGGGATTGCCCATCCATTCAAGTTTCACATGTACAGTGCTGCCCATTTGACATATATAGATGAAATCTAAATACAGAAGTCCCATTTCTATGTCTACATTAAAATTTGAAAGGGATAATAATTAAAACTTGAGTTGCTCTTAGTTCCATAATTCGGTACAAAATACTGGACAAATTTTACGATACATTAACACAATAAATACAAGTTAAAACATCACAAACTTTCATCTTCATATCATTCCTTATTTTCTCATATTATCATACGATGTTTGTAAAGGAGGATGGATTGCAAACATAGACAATTCATTTACATTTTTGCATACATTATTATTTCTAGTCCAATAATTTGGTTTGCAGTCCTCTCAAAACTTTATTCTTCTTTTGCTCTATCAAGCAAAGAAAGTTATTAGCTTTTTAGAAGTCTACAGACTTGATTTCTCACTACCAAGCATTAATCTGCATTCTGCATGACCGTTGAGATGCCAGCACATTGAACATTCTCAAGTTTCTCCAACTGTCGGAGTAGATGTGCATGCAGATCCAATGCTCTTCTTGTCTTCAGAGAGCCTTGACGTCACCGAGATATTGCATAACTGTGACTTGTACTGCAGGTAGGTAGGTAGGTACCTATACACGGCTGTCAGTTGAAATACGTCCAAGATGGTGAGTGATCTCGGAGAAGGTATGACGATCCTTAGGACTATCAGCCCAGCATCGATGCATCATCAGCTCAATCTCCTCCGGTGTATCAGGTGGTGTCTCCAGCATCAACTCACCATCTATCATGGCTCGCATCACCGCATCATTATCTAGCTGTGTATAGGGCAACGTGCCCTGGCTGAATACCTCCCACACAAAGATCCCATAAGCCCAAACATCACTCTTGGCTGAGAGCTCATCCTCAAAGATGGCTTCAGCCGGCATCCAGCGAACCGGGATGAGCTTCTGGTGATACTCATGGTACTCTGGGCGGTAGAGATCTTGACTTACAGACATGGTACAGATCTTCACCTCCATAGAAGGTGATAGAAGACAGTTACGAGCAGCCAGGTCACCGTGGATGAACCGATTAGCTGACAAGGTCTCCATGCCTAGAGCTACTTGGTTGACTATGTCTATCTTCTGACTCAGGGTGAGAGGAGGTGGGACGTTCTTGGTGCCGTTCTCACCACGTGTTGCCTGCAAGAACTGCTTCAGATCACCCTGTCATCAAACAAAGCAAATGACCATCAAGTTAATTTACATCAACACATACAAATACAAAATGAGTCCATGGGCTAGGAGAGTATAGATTATCTGCTCCAGTATGGAATTATTCTTTATGTACAATATCAGAATTGGCTTTCCCTCACGCTTTCTTCGTGTTATCAGAGCTGCTTGAAAAAAAAAAAAAAAAAAAAAAAAAATTAAGCTTTTGCTCAATATGTAAAAATGTAATTTGTTAGTTCAAATTTTTTTTTTATAACTTCTGAATCTTCATCCAAATCCCTTCTAACTCATGTTTCCGGTCTAGCTACTACAATCAACTTACCCAATCTAAATACTCAGTGATCATTAGTTGTGGTTCAGTATCCCTACACACACCCAGGAGCTTGACGATGTTCTCATGGTTGAGCTTGCCTAACATCTCGATCTCTCGTCTGAAGTCTAGCTGTAACGACTCCTCTTTGGTCTCCAGAGCTTTGACCATCACTGTGGTAGCCTCCTCACCATCTTTAATGCCTGCTGCCCTCGATAGGGTCACCTCACCATATGCTCCATGACCTGAAAGTATGAGGTGAAAGTTTGATTACATCACATGTCCACAGCTCTCATGATACAACAACTATATCTATCTATAGACCAGCAATACCAATGAATGATATAAAAATGATATTATCATCCAAAACAACATTTTTTAATGATTACAACAATAAAATATTGACATAATTCAAATAGAGAAACTGTCACAAAAATGCTTCTAAACGTCAGACTGTCTTCTTTACCATGTTCAATGCCCCATCCCTGCCTGAGAAAGGGACTCCAAGACTAGCTATGCTGGATGCCTTTTTACAAAATTCATACTCGCTTTTTCTTAGAAACCCAAGGTGAATATACAATCATCAATTATTCATGAATCTCACCCCATTGACAAGTTCATTTCCCTGCACTCTGGATTTATGAACATGATATCAAATACAATAAAAAAAATCACAAGAAACCAATTTTTTCAATTCAAACTAGCAATGACTATTTACCAATAGTAGTGATGGTCTGCATATCATGTTTTGGGAACTGCAGCTTGTCATAGCTCCCTCTCTGGTGGTTCTTATTAGGTGTTGGATTCAATGCTATCTCCCCATCAGCAACCTTGCCATTCTCTCCCTCGTGATAATCATTCAGCATCCGATTGTTCGCTCCTCCTGCCACCATTCCGTTGGGCTTCTCCATGTTCTTCATCTTGCGTCTGTATCGTCGACGTCTCTGACGACACCATAGCATGAGACCGACGACCAGGAAGATGTAGGCCGCGGCACACCCTACAGCGATGGCGATGGTTCGGGTCATGACCTGAGCTGGTACAGGCACTTGGTCAGGAGGAGTACCCTCTGCAATCATAAGAAAACATGTTTATGAAGTATGAAGTTCATGGATGCATGGCCTACAAGATGTAACAACATTAAGGGGTTGTTTAAAGACAATAAGCTTTAACAATCAATAATATTTCCTTCTCTTATTCACTGTGTTCTTCACATTCACACATTTCATTCTCAATAATTCAATTTTAAAAATGGTCGGAATTGCTTTCAATTATCACATGAAGATATACCATGACTGATGATGAATACAAATATATGCATCTTGCCCTAACCACAGTGTGGCTATGCTCAGTTCTATAAAGGTATCTTCTCCCTGCTCTGGGGGGTGTTTCACAAAGATCCTAAGTTGAACTTATCTCTAAGTTGGACTTAAAAAATATGGAAAGCCATTAGCATCTTTGAAAATATTTTGTAAAAGTTATTTTGAAAGGCATTCATTGTTTATTGAAATCACTCATATTTTCTATCATCAAGGAGATTTCATGTTCTGGATGTGGAATTAATAAAAAGTCTAAAATACTTGAATTTCTGCTTTTGAATATATTTCATTTAAAGACTCCAATGGCTGTCCATAATTTTTAAGTCCAACTTAGGGTTAAGTTCTACTTAGGATCTTTGTGAAACAGTTAACACCCTCCAGATGTTGATTGCAGCATTTCCCCGCACATCTCTGCTATCTGCCATTCTAGTACACTTAGTTAGTGTTGTGTTAACAACTGGCCTACATCCCTACTACTACTGACAAGACACAAGGTGACATAAGACTTACTCTGCACAGTGAGTGTTATCTCTGTGGTATTAAGCCCAGCATCACTGCCAGCGATGCACTGATATCTGCCAGCATCATTAGCATGAACCTCTTGGATGATGAGGGTACCATTGGGTAGATGAGTGAAATGCTCAGGGTAGTTCATGATTGGTTTACTAATCCATGTGATCGTTGGTTCAGGATCTCCATGAGCTGTGCAGTCAATCTTGAGAGAATAACCCTCAAATCCTATGGTGTTGTTTGGTATGATCACAAACTTGGGTTTCACTGCAGATAAAAGAGAATCAAACAATTGTATTTTGCTAGTTTCCATGGTGTAGATAACGTTAAGTGATCTACAGCTAAAACAGATCACAAACTACAGAAACTTCTCTTGTTTTCTCATTTATCATGTTATCAAGTTATCTCATACAAGTACCATATGGCATCTTTCTAAAATCATTATTCACCTCATGAAATATTTTTACAATCACTTTCCATTTATTTGTTTTGACATTCAAATCAGTTCATATAGAGTTTGATATGCTCGAGATGAAAAGCTTAGTTCTGATACATGCAGGTCATTTGACACAAATAAAAACATCTATCTCTGATATGAAGATCAAAGCTTTGACTTACCAGCTCTTTACCAGTAGATGCAATATGAATCTAAGCTTAGACCTAACAAAACTGAAAATTGACAGCAGTATCAATCATTCCTTAACTAGTCAATACAATATAAAGTTTCTACGTACCGACTACATCGATTCTGACGGTGGTATTAATCCTCTCCAGACCCGTGGATGCAATGCAGATGTACGTTCCAGCATCGCTTGCTTCAGCAGGGTTGAATTGCAGGACTCCTGAGTTAGGTTCTGAGATATGATCTGGCCATGTTCCTATTATACCCTGCTTGTGCCATGCAATAAATGGTTGGATGCTGGCTGTAGCGTGGCACACTAGACGGTTCATCTCCCCACGGTCTAAAGACGTCACAGCAATAGGACGTGGATTGAACTTCAGGATAGCTGTTAGGTACAAACATCAATCATAACATGTGGGTCATTTAATTAGCAGAAATATAAGTAATTAATAATAATAATAATAATAGGCATTTCTATAGCGCTGTCTATCTAGAAATTCTATTCTGAGGCGCATTTATTATTACCCCGGCTTTAGCCTAGCTGCCATTACAGCGCTCCAGTATTTTAATTTCAAGGAATTAATTCCTGCCAGGTACCCATTTACATCACCTGGGTTGAGTGTGGCAAATGTAGATCAATGTATTGCCAAAGGACATTAGTGCCATGGCGGGACTCGAACTGCAGACCTTGTGATCAACAGTCCGGCGACCTATCCACTCGACCAATACCAAGTAAGTATATAAATGTTGAATACTGGCCAAGCAAAAAGTATCTCCTTGTTTTTAATATGTGATGGTGATTGTATCAAATGGTACACCCCACCAAAGCAGTGAATGGGTGAACTACATGTCCACGACAAGAACCTAAATGTACCCTTACACTCAAGATAAAAAGAGATTGATGTCGTTTTACAAACAATGGTACAAAGAGAAAACTCTCCATTCTAAATAAGTCTTGATAAGATTAGTTATTCTGATAACATGTCTTATTGAAAAGTATGACAGAGTTTATAAAGAAAAGCACTTAATCTAAATAAACCTGACTATACCATCTAGATAGCATCTGTAATTTAATTTTTGAGGGGGTCAGTTATTCCAACACAACATAGACTGGAACCTAAGAGATCTAAAAACTGCAGCCTCAAACTAGATGTGTAGACCTGGAACTTGTTTTACAAAAAGACAGTTAAATAGAAAAATGACTAAAATACAGTCCTGATTTCAGTACATTTGACTTGTTAAGAAAAAAAAATAGTTACATATGTTTTGCAGTTATTACTGATAACTAGTTTTATGAAACACCTAGGGCCCTGATGATGAAAGAACAGTGCATTACCTTTGACAAAGATGTTAGCCGATGCAGTTTTGATGCCCGCTATGGTCCTAGCTGTACATGTATAGGTACCATTATGTCGAGTCATTGCACTGTTGATTACCAGCGATCCATCAGCTGACACCTCTATGCCTTGTTTCTGTATATCGTAAGAAAAAAAATGTCATGATATACAAGAACAGTTAACTAACATAAACAATTCATCTAATGAAAGGCAACATGCTCGTAAATTCCTTTTTTGAAACCAGGAGGGCGTTATAATTCCGTAAAATGAAATGATGTAACGCCCTTCTGACTCCATAACAGATGAAATAATGTTGGACGGTGTCATCATCATTGATATCATATGCTATGGATTGACCCTCATGTTAAGTTACCTGAATATTAATGTTTGATATATCATTGGATGCATTCATACCATTTGTCTAACATGCTTACATGCTGAAATGAATTGAAATTGAAGAAAAATGTGGGAAATTACTCTACAGCTGTATTTAGCTAAGCTTGTATACCTGTTATTTGATTTACAGAACCTTTAGTTCATAAATGGCAATGTGACTTTGGAATGATTGAAAGTATGATCCTTAATGCGCATCTCCCCATAAAGCTAGAACGCTCACCGCTGCACATGAATCTTACTAAGTACATGATTCCTTACATTTGTGATATCTCTGGTGCCAAATGTCCAGCTGATTGTTGGTGTAGGAGTACCGGTAGCATTGCATCGTAGTGTTGCTTCTTCTCTCTCTCTGATGTGAACATCTACAGGTCTGGTTGTAATCTTGGGTGCAGCTGGAGAAAAATATAACAAATACAGGTTTTTGTTTATTACTGAGCTTACAAAAAAAGAAATTCTGTCTCTGTTTTATTTCTATTACTTGATGGCGTTTTCCTTGGGACCTCGATAAAAGAGATTTGAGCTGTTGATGGCATTACTAAAGGCCAATCTTCAAGCAACATGCTCAATTGTAGTTTTCACAAGAAAAACATTGGATGGGCGCGGAGGGGGGGGGGGGCTCTGATCATCTGAAGCTTTTCCATGTTCGCCCTTCTCCGCCACAGTTCTTTTCTATCAGTCCTAAAGAACATGGTGCCTTGCTTCAAGGTCGCTACTGTTTAAATTCCCACAAATCAGACTTGTTTAATTAACCTTTTTAACTAAACAACATCATATGGTAACTCATATCTTACAAACGAACAAATCTAAATAAATCCCCTATCATAAATATAAATAATCTAAAAATCCAGGATATTCAAACAGGAAATACAAAATTTCGGATTACAGTAAAAGTTCAGAGAGAGATCTCTCATTTTAAAGACTCACAATGTTCAATCTACATTTAATACACTGCTTTACAAAGATCCCTACTTCAGTTCATTCCTAGGATATTTATGATGATTGAAAGAAAAATGCAACGCCCAAGACTCATTATGCCAGAAGGCCCAGATTATCTCAGATAAGATCTGTTCTACAAGAGACTGGTATACTTACTAGCAACCACTACTTTGAGTATCTGGGTTGTTTTGCCAGCCATGTTACTAGACACACATGTATAGTTGCCTTCGTCAGATTTCTTGATAGGATCAAAGACGAGAAGATTCTTTTGCTCTTCCACACGAACCCTCTTAGTCTTAGTCCCATCTAAAGGTACCTCACGTAAACTAGGTTTCAGCCAATGTATAGAGGGTGTAGGAATGCCTCCCACGTCGCCTGCTGGATAGGAGCAGTTTATGGCCTTTGTGTCGCCTTCTGGAATCAACTGGGCTTCAAACTCAGGTAGAGGGTTCACGGCTGAAAGAATACAAAATAGAAATAACATCATTTGACAAAATTAAATCAGAGGAATAAATTTTTTAAAACATGAATCAGTTTTAAAAATACCTTCTTCCCACTATTTGTTTAAAATAGAAGATTGTACGGATAGAACATGAGAGTGCTCCTTGGGATAAGGGATCAGCCAAAGATCTTCTTACCTCATAATCGACACAAAAACAAACACCATTGCCTGGAAGAATATAACATTACTGATACTGAAAAAGCATGTAAACATCTGTAAACTTGTCAAATTAAACATCCCCACTTAAAGCTTTTTGCTATGATGTATGGATTAATCAAAAGAAGGAATTGCTATACATGGTATCACATGATCATATTGAGAAACAGTCAAAATGAATTTGCATTTAAGCTCAAGCATATTACAGATATATTTGCAGTTTCATGATCCTACATCCCTCCTTCCCTCCTAAAACTTGCATGCTACCTCAAGGAATCCAAACATATTGAGCACCACTACCCAGTGCACAGCCTCTTGACATAAAGGAATAGGCAAGATGGAATCAAGATTACATCAGGGAAAATCTTTTCAACTCGATACCTGGCCCGATTCAATCAAGAATTCATAATCAATATTTTGGGGGCATGTTTAGATGCCAAAAGAGGAGGTTTTCAATTATTTTCTACTTGTTGTTATACATGCATTGTGTGAAAGGTAATTCCTAACCTTTCTTTTCGTTTCACCTCAATCCTATTTTCTTCATGCTGTAACTCTCCTTATCATAATTTAGTTTTATTTTCCTAAATCCAATCTTTTAATCCACATGCATTACAAAATGCTATGATTTCCTGCTGAAGCTACATTTCAGTTTCAGTTTCAGTTTTATTTTTCATTCAACAGAACAGTTATTTTGACAGGAAATCAGGTATATACAATTCAACATTCAATAATATTTTACATATACTTCAATCAGGACTACTTGAGGTGTAATAGCTGTTTGACATTCATAATGAAAACCAATAACTTCAGTAAAAACTTATGCCGTTTTAGGGGAGGAGAATATGACTTGCTTTTTTAGATTATCTGGATCATGTGATAATTCACAGGTAGAGACTTAAAGTGATTGTAAAGCACATGCCTAGATCCTCACAGCCTGGGTTGTGTCGTTGGTGTGTAAAGCTAAACCAGGAATGTACACTTCTGATGAAAAGAAGCGGAGGACATTAGAGGGATGCCATGAATGTTGTCACTAACAGACAGCTGTTCAGAGTTTGGATATCCCAAGATGCCTTGCTGGGGTGGGTCAAGTTATTGACCTTGCCGATGATAGAATGTCCTCTAGGGTAGTACATAGTTGTGGGTTGGATATCAAACAAGGGAACACTACTTCTACTATACATTCAACCTAGGCTAGAGCTAGGAAACAAGGCAAAGCAGATGGTAGCTAGGAAGCTTATCTCATGTTGGTTGTATAAACAATGAGAGCGGGGAATATGGGAGAGAATACTAGAAGACATCTGTGGAGATACCATGTTCGATCTAATATATTGGCCAGAACTCCACTACCTATCTTAATGTACCTGTCTAGGTGTGTCTTTCTCAGTTCATTATGTGATTGGTAAAGAATTTATCAAAATGTGATCAGGATAGCGAGAGAGAGAGAGAGCCCTATAGAGATACAGAGAGACAGAAAGAAAGGGAAAGAGAGAAAAGACAGATTAATAATGGAAAGAACAAAAGAAAGGAGATTGAGAGATAAGTATCTCTATTTTTGTGTATGACCAACCAATTTCAAACTGAATTTGTAGGAAGACAAAAGGAGCGATTCCCTCCATTTTTCTGTGACAGAACACTGCAACTCTAGATACATGAGATTGCTATATTCTCACTAGGAGTATAAACTAATCATGACACGGTTGAGAGACAAGGTCAAGGTCTATGACCCCTATTCATAGGAATAGATGGGGAGAGGTAGGGGTTATGGGAGAATGGAGGGTACAGCCTTTTGTTTGGTTTGACACTATCTTGACCTCAAGTTCATGTACAGTGGTAGGATGGCAGTTGAAATCGAGGAAACACATTTCTTTCCTTCCAACCTTTATATCAATGGTCTAGATCTTAGCTATTTGGAGTGTTTGCTAAAGATCAGATGTCGCCGTACTTGCAAACCATTACCCTTTTTACTGACACAAACACCCTCTGATTTGATCTCGTTCTTTCATTCCTGTGAACTGACCTGCGACCTTTGGCCTGAATATATAAATTGATTCACCTTCACCTCTGTAATGGACCGATCCACCTTGATGAGACTTTCGTATTTGAGTTCTATGATTCTACCTCTATGATGTCCTACATACAGCAGAGATTGCCCAGGTGATGATAATTTGATACTGTCTGTGACTTATACTTCCGTACAGCACAGAAAGCTTTTTCAACATTAATGTAGCTTGTGGTAAAGTTTCTAACTGCCCCTCCCCCCCCCCCCTCTCTCTCTCACACCTGAATCAACACCATGGATTTGTGGTTTGCTCTCCCTGATAATGATCTTTACTGTGTCAGAAAAGAAAATTCCAGGGATTGCATTCCTGCATAATATGCACATTTGATGCGCACGTCTTTGAACAAATTCTGGGTATCGAAAGATATTGGCTACTAGGAGTAAACCGTTATCAAATTGACTTATATTTTAATAATAATATCAAAAATAACTGTTTCTTATAAAGTGCTTTACCAATTACAGCTTAACTGACCAAGGCGCTTATGCAGTATTATTACCCCGGTCACTGGATTCTATTACCATCCTGCACTTTACAGTGTACACTCTTGCCTCCCTTGGGAGCATTCCAGCCCGTCGCCCTGTTAACGGACGCATACATGCTAATCAAACAACTTTGATTATCGCATCCTATCAGATACCTATTTAAAACCATGGTGGAAGGAAAAACGTAGATAAATTGCCTTTCTCATGGACAAAGAGTAAACACACCTCTTGCTCTTTAAAGCAGATGTGAACAATTGGCAACATTTGGGAATAACCTGTTTGGAATATCTAAATCCTGAACAGAGATACTCACTTGCTATGGTCAGCCTGGCGCTGGCAAACGGTCGTCCATGAGGGCTGTCACATACACACTGGAACTCGCCCTCATCACCGGCCGTTAGATTGGCCAGACTCAAACTACCATTACCTATGATGTACGTCCTAACAGACAGACAAGACAAAAAAAGAAAAGTGAGAGAGAGAAAAACAATAATCATAAAGATAAAATAACTTCTTTACGATATCATGTTACTTCTTAAAGTAGAACTAATGTTGCATGCTACTGTTTTTTTTATCATTGATACAGACAATTTGTGCAGTAAAGCCCCTCTAAAGTGTTTGGAGCCCTAAAAATTTAATGGCAAAATTTCACCTAAATCATATCATAATTTGAAAGAGGCTGCCATTCAAAACTTTTTGAAACAAATATATTTGATGTCAAATATTGATGGAAAAAATACACAATTTAGGTTTTCTGCGTACAACAGAAAATCTAAATTATGTATTTTGGGGGCAAATTTGGGGCTCTCATCACTTTAGAGAGGCTTTAAAGAGAGAAAATGGATATGTTCAAGAAAGTTATTTGGGAAGGGGAACAACTAACAAAAGGTTTTATGGTATGATTGCCTTACACCTCTACATGTGACCGTTACATAAGATAAGAATTAAAATTCTTCCATATTATACACCAAGACATCATATTGTTGCCTGGCTGGCAGAAGGGCGTTAGCTCGAATTTCAGGCAAAAAAAATGAAGCGTTAAGCAGAAGGGCATTAGCACTAAATCGCCTCAAACTTTCATAAAAACTGACTGATTTCCGAAGAAAAATTGTGGCCGTGTTCTACTATAATATTTCTAATAGTCTTTTAAGTTTTAAACCAATTTTTGGGACGGAAAGCAGTTTAAATATAAAAAAAATCTTTAAATGTGAATAATTTGAAAAAGCTAACGCCCTTCTGCCAGCCGGCCGACGATATGCTGGATGTCTAATAAGAATTTGATGATGACAAGTAACTCACCCAGTTTCAGTGTCATTCATGAGTTGTGGAGGGATTTCACCACCAGCCTTGCTAGTAGTATACCATTCTACCGGTGGGGTTGGGTCTCCACTGAACTGACAATGGAACATGATGGAATCTCCTAGAACACGTATGGCATCGGTAGGTGCTACTTCAACAACAGGAGTATTGGAATCTGTATCAAGAAGGGGGAAAAAAAACACACATGATTAAAATTAAATACAACCCAATGGTGATAATTGAGAATGAGGTTCTCAATCTGGCAAGTCTTCTCTGATCTAGGTAACTTCTAGATGAGGAGGAGGCAAGTGAGTCAGTAAAGCATCTGCTTGTTGAACCATAGACGTAATTTGTATTACGTCTATGGTTGAACCAAAGAACGTAGGTTTGAATCCAACTCAGACAGATGACTGAATAAATATCTAAGCTTCAACCACAACGTTTAAACAAGACATGAAAGGAACCCAATTACATTTCGACTTTAGAAAGTCCTGAGCATGCATTGAACCCAAGAACCCATTGAACCCATCGGATTTGAGTTCTCTGTGGAGGGTTTGTGGTATATCTTCTACATCAACTCCTCTAGGCATTAACCCATAGGATGCTGGCAATTTGTTTACCGTATTTGCCGGCGTATAGGCCGCAGTATTTTTGGAAGAAAAAATATCAAAAAGTCGGGGTGCGGCCTATGCGGCGAAAGAGTAAAAAAAAGTTTGTTTTTTTTTTGTTTTTTTTTTTTTAGTTTTGATTTATGGCGCTATGCCTGGCAATGTCTCCCAGCTCAGTAATCAGTGTTGACTCACCACTCGGAAACTACAACAACACTAAAATTTGTCTGTCATCTTGGTTTGAAAGTAATCTTTCTAATAGATCTCAATATGTAGTTTATAATAATAATTCCTCAATTTTTTTTATATAAAAAATGGTGTTCCACAAGGTACTATCCTAGGACCTAGTACTCTTTTGTTTTTAATTCACATTAATGATCTTACAAATTCTTCTAAAAACGACATTGTTACTATTATTTTGTGACAAGTTTACAAGCACAAATCAGCGCCTTTAACTGCACCTCGATGTTAAATGAAGGTCCTTCCCCGCGTGGGTTTTCGACAACAAAACAACAACAACAACCAAAAAAAAAAAAAAAAAAAAAAATTTTTTTTTTTTTTTTTTTTTTAAATGTCAAAATCGGGGGTGCGGCCTATACGGCGGTGCGGCCTTTACGCCGGCAAATACGGTAGTTGACTTTATAATCCACAATTATTTTTTAAAACATGAATAAGTCTCCTAATCTTTGAAAAATAGGACACTTAAAAAATGCATATGCACTTTTAGATAAAGAAAAGAAACAGTTGATGTAGTATAGCAAAAAAATTGAAACAACTTTAACATTTACAGTTGAAAAATATCATAAGGGACTATTAGACAAAGAAGCAATGTACTTCAACATCTATACCTCCCCAACCAAACATACAGAAGCACACAATACCAAGTGTTTTTTTTATCATTCCCAAATAACTCAATAGCATGGACAATGAAATTAACCGCAGACGGAACAGCCAATTATCTGTTGTTTGCATTTCATAATAACAAATTTGGAAACACGTTTTCTCCATGTGATAGAGGACATAATTGAATTGAGTGGTTTATGAACTCTGGATGAAATGATTTCAAGAATTCAAGGTTACCATGCTCATTCAAACTAATTCAATAGAATCAGATCCCTCTCTCAATAAAAATCCATGATGAAGAAATGGAGAAAATGATCCGAAACATGGACGGTGTAAGTTACTTTTGAGATGAATAGCACACTCAAATATCCTATTGACGTCTTGGAGTTGTGCATTTGAGAGCCTGGCGAAGGCCTTACAGGCCCATGACTCATATATGGTGGGGGTTCATCTATTCTATGACGCGAGTACTAAAAGGCATATTGGAAAGAGAGTGAGTACATGGTATCATGAAAGATTCATGTACAGGTCGGAAGAAGAGAGACAAGTATATGCACTATTCCACAGAAATCTGAGAGAATTTGATAAAAAATGAAAGGGAAAGGAGGTGGAGGGAGTAACCCAAGAGTGAGTCACAAATATATTCAACATTTTAAATGTCAAATAGGACATCGGAGCAGGATAACAGAAAGAGGGCAATATTTTCAACAGTGTACATCTCTACATACCGGTATATATGGTACTTGTTCCTCACATTAAAAATGAAACATAACAAACTCCATATTACAGAAATAACACTGATTTAATTTCCATTGGAGGAAGAATCTGTAATGATTTTGTTATACGCAAAATGCAAAAAATAATAAAATAGTGTTGACTCTTTAATGCAATCATATGCATATACTGCTAGAATAAACCTGAATGATTCAATCCATTTACATTAAAAGTAATGTGCAAAAATATTGAAATATTCATGTATCATACAGAGCATATTATTTGCATGTGAACTCTTCAGCGCTACCTTTTGTTACTCTCTGACTAGTACTAATGGCTGATATTGTGGTAATGATGAGACCAATTAATCAAATAAAGTGCTTGACAAAACAAGTAGCAAGGCAATCTACAGAACAAGTGTTTTTATTGTAAATAGTGTTTTTATTGTAAATAGCTTGTAGATAATGTTTTAATTGTTCACACATTAGAAATGATTGATTCACTGAATTTATTAAATACCTTAATGACTAATCAGTGATCACATACAATTCCATCACAGGAACAAACAACATTCCTTTAGAACAAAAATGTAAAACTTGCAATTATAGGTAGAATGAATTGGAAAATTATTTTGAATCACAGACACTGTGCATATAAATTATGTTGACCTTTTTGAAGCAATAAAAGTGGCTGAAAATGTCCATCTCTTAAATTTGTCCATAGGCGGGTACAGACTGTCAGATTCAATAGAGAGGGGATATTTGTCTGGTTTAATCATGCAGAATGGATAGACTTGCTTAACAACCACTCAGCACAACACGCAGGAGATTGAGCGCATGCGGTATAGAGCGTACTTCCGCCCATTATCGTTACAATTGCCTTCCAAAATATGACATGGCTGACATACAGGCACATACTCCGCTGAGCATGACTTATCAACCGAGGCATACATTAAATGTTTGCAACCGGTTGGGTAACCTGGACTCTAAACGCATCTTACCCCAAGCATGAGTAAGCCTTCCCTGCCTGAGGGCATCTTTCTCCCATCAATGAAGGGGAACTGCAAGCCTAACAAACATTGGTACCGCTGCCATCCTGCTACCCCTCTGGCTACCCCACTGGCTGCCCCCATTGGATTGGGAGTACTAGCATGAGACCCTAACAAGTTCTAAATCCTAAACGCTCCAATTTCTATTCCCTAGGTAAATGCAAATTGATGAGGAATGGGATTTAACATGGTTGTTATACATTCTCTGGGACCGGGACTAGACCAGAGAACATGGAGGAAAGTGTAATAAGCTTTAAATTTGGATTGATGGGGGAAGACTCAGGTTTCTTTTGAGCCGAGGTAGATTAAAGACCTGGGTAGGGGGTTCCTTATATGGCTGCTCTCCACCACAAACATCTATGGAGGAGATGTCTGACTCACAACACTCAGCTGCTCCTGCATACATTCAATCAGAACCATTCTTACTCCTATATGGTAACTGTTATCCAAAGTCTCTGCAATGCTATTCTTCAGCATGATCATCATTACTATGCAGCTATGAAGTTAATCAATTGACTTACCAGTAGCAATTATTTGCCAACACAATATATATCACACATTGTGAGCCCTTTTTATTCTTTCTTATAAATGTTGCACATCTTAAAAATGATAAACAATTTTGGCAGAACTTTAAAATGTTTGCATTGAAGAACTAAATATCTTGTTTTTTTCTTCAGGTTTTTTTTTCTCTAAAGAAAGGGTCCATTTGTTAGCTCATTTTAGCATGCAGAGACACGCACCTAATATTGGATACTGTATCACCATGTCTACTTGCATAGAGCCAGGCCGTCTCAAGTAACAATAACATGTAGCTAACACTAAAATATATTCAAGCATTCAATGCACGTATACACATATTCCCTAGATTTGATGGGATAGGATTGCATGCATGGAGGCTTATATTTATATTTGATATAATACATGGCGAGATCGACTAAAAAAGAAGACAGATAGTCTAGATATATATAAACTGCTTCAACAGATAAAGATATTGATGGATGCATTATCAGATGTTCTAGAATTTTGCACAAGTATATTTGCATATTAATGATTCCACTCATGCTGAAATTATTCAATTCAGGAAAAAATATATATTAACCGCAAAATCTTCATATAAGAAAATTTGAAGAGAATTCACTTAAATCAAGTGAATTAATGTTGCATCCAAACCCTGTTAATGTACCAGACAAATTCCTTCATAATATGGCTTGTATGATTCCTATGATGCAAGGGTAGATTGATCATTGTTTCCTCCTTCTTTTTCTTTTTGAATAAAATGGTCCATTAAAAAAAAAAAATACATATATATGTGAGATTAAATAGTATTCCAAAGTTTACGAATAACTTTATAAGAGTTATATTGTAATAGAAATGGACGTTTGAATAAATGATTGATTGGAAAAAAGAAACATAAAAATGCATGTGTCCAATATGCTTTGTTATGAACTCTGCTGTGCAGTTCTCCAACACAAAGGGTTTCATCTCTGACACTCAATATCCCAGCCAAAATACCAAGCATACAGGTCATTTCAATGCAAATTGCCCCTTTTAATGGCCATTTTATCACCCAGGGACCTGCCTCCAAGATGCTGCTTGGTTCACAGAGGAGGCAGATAAAGAACTTGAAGAATAGCCTGAGGAAGAAGCAGGTCATTCACATCAACACACACACACGCACACACCGTTATATTCACGTTCTTGTCCCTTCGTAGCGATCATAACGGTTACGCTCACACATTATTACTAATGTACATACACCTGATTTAGGGTTACAGCCCTTTATATTGGTACGTTTAATGAAAACACTTTTAATTGAAAGGCTTTCTTATTAATCATCCCTGTTTTATTAATATAATGTTACTACTTTTGCTAAATATATTTTGCTCTATGATTTTCTTCATGTAACCCCTCCCCATCCCTTCTACAAACATCAGCTGATATACATGAATACCGCTTTCCTTCTTCATTCATGCTTCCTTTTATTCTCTCTTTATATTTTAGCATTGTTAAGAGCAAACAACTCGATAAGCAAGCAACAAAATAGATACTGTATAACTAAACATCTGCTATAAAAGCCTGACGTTCCATCTAAAATATTCCATTAATGTTTAATGTATCTCCTCTGGATGCCAAGCATGTTTTAATCCCATTTTTTCTCCAATTTCAATTCAATAATACCAATTTTTTCCCTGTCATGCATCATTTAACATTATATCTTAGAGTATTTGTTGTTACAAAGTATCCTATTAGCTGATCGATATTCTATCATGCGATACTATAATTTGTGAAATGTGCATGAGTGTGTAATTTTTGCATGGTATTCATGTAGTGCATGTACATTATGTTGCATTTGTTGTAATTATATTGCATATCTATGCTCGACTACACATACCCATTGTTTAATTGTTTTCATTAATTATTGAAAGAGATGACTTGAGAAGGAGGAAGCATGAGATTAAAAAATGCCCTTCATTTCGCATGAAAAATACTGTACAGTTCATGCATTTAAATAAAACACATTCACTCCAGACTACAAATTGTTATCATATATTTTGTGACATGGAACTGGGAAGCATGCAATATTTACTTAATATCAATGTATGAGGATGTGACATCTCATCTACCACTTCTTCTCTTGGAATACTTCCAATCTTTCTTTATGATAAAGATATCTGTATTTAGATTGACTAATGTACTCACAGGTGGAGGGAATTGTGATAATTGAGAGCTGTCTATTTGTTAATGAAAATATAATTCATGTGTGTAAACAAAGATAACTGCTGATACAGACATCATGAAGAAGTATGATTCATAACAAGACAACCCTTTGGTGGATCTCATCCAATTTGATTTGACACCCCTGTGCAGTAGATATTTGCACTACCAGCCTCTTAGCGACAAGCATAAAAATGAGCGAGCGAGTTGTCATGTAGATAGTAGAGCAGAACTAATGCTTGATATTGATTGGTTGAATACTGATCAATACATCACTGAGCCACATCACTAGATAGTATCCTTTGGGTTAAAGTCTGTCAGATATTAAGCCATATAACGGTTCTGACCTAATTAGCTGGTAACACCAGTTATGACAGCTGGAAGCTTCATTGATTTCTCTGCACTTTTAGAAATAAAAATTTGTTGCATTATATTTTTTTTCAGATAAGCAATTTGAAAACCACTCCTCAGCCAAGATGATAAACAAAGAATTTGTTTTCATCTTAAAACTTTTCAAGAAGGAAAATAATTCTCACGCTCGTCTTTAATCATAAAAGACTTACAAAAGTAACAACTGCTACCACTTTGCAATCTTTTCAATACTCAATACTTTTTGTAAAATCAGAAATGTATAAATGACGTGATTATTTTACAAATAGATTTAAATATGCAGTCATTATAAGCTGCACACAATTATATTAGCGCATTCAATGTGACCCATTAATTGTGCATTACTTTGGATTGGTCATGTGATGTCACAAAGCTTATCAGTAAGTATGTTGTCTTAAAATGCTCAGTTGTGATCTAAATATGTGTTAGGACATTATTAATTTGCATAGTTAAATGCTAAGTAAAATACTGACTTAATCCACATACTGAATTGAATATGGCCCTAGATGACTGCTGCATTTCTGTTTTCTATAATTCCAAAATTAGCTTTAATGTCAAGAAATATATGAATGTATGACAGACATAAGATAAGATTATCATGCTCTGTGTAAAAACTGTGCAATAACCAATCTAAGATATGCTGCAAGTCTTTGCCTAATGGCATCATAACAAGAACCAAGAATCTGCAATATGATAACAGCTTCCCACTTCTTCAAAGCGCCAAGCTGAATCATGTCTAGATTCTACCTAAGACAACAAATAACAGACTTCAAAGCACCCAGCCGCATCACAGACAGTCATATCTGATCGTCATATCTGCTCATGACCTTCTGACATTCTATGAAACATTTCATTCTTGTTCTTTATCAGGTTAGCTGGCTAAAGGCTGTGTCACAGACTGAATACCACAGGCAACGGGAGGGAGGGAGGCAGGGAGAGATGATTCATACATCGATCATAAAACCGACCATTCTGAACACTATGAGTATGAAGAGAAAGCCATGCTACTAGATAATTCATTCATATTGACTCACATCATAGCTAATAGTGAATGAGCACAAATCTACCCCTTCTTTGTCTTCCCCCATCTCCCCTTGTAGTTTCTATCTACATTTACATAATAAATTATACAAGCTTTTATTAATTCACCACAATTAGAAGAAGAAGAAAAAGTCAACAATAACTATCCTTCCTAAATAAAATAAAAAATATAAAATTATTTAAAAGAATTTTTGTCAATGGTACTTTGATGCGAAAATATAAAAATCACCATCAAACCTCATTTAATATTCATTTAAAGGATTTTCAATATTACATTTTCTATATTCCAGCATTCCCAATTCTAAGCATTATCAAATTAATTTAATGAGAAGGATGTTGTGTTAGATTTACAGAAATCTCACTGAACTTACCAACAATGTTAAACTGGACATTTTCTGTGCTGGGCATGGAGCCTGCTACATTGGTCGCCATGCAGGAATAGATACCACTATCCAGGGGTGTGGCGCTCTTGATCTTCAGCCTAGTACCGCTGATATCAACGTTGGAACCAGCGACGACTGGTGTTTGGTCATGATACCAGGTGACCATAGGTACGGGGTTACCGCTAGCCCTACAGATGAGGGTAACCTTACCCCCTTCTTCTACATCCTCCGGTAGATTGGGTCTGTTCAGCTGCACACGTAACTCTTCTGAGATCCCTGCAATATTAACATAGGCAAGCATGCTATTATATTTACTTTCATGCTTCCATTAGTTAACATCTCATGCATTGAATATGGTAACTATATTAATAAACATTTAAATGCAATAGTCAAATGAATGTGCTCAGGTTAGTAATTTTTTGACAATTGTAGCACAGAGTTTTGGCATTCCGTTTAATGCTTCAATGGTTAAGAATAAGATGGCATTGAAAAAATAATCAAGGTGCATATTTCAATCTTTCAATTTCATTTATTTCCACAGATTCATAAAAGACAATATAAATTACAATTAAATAAAAACATTAAAACAAAAGATGAACCTGCAGAGGAGATGATCAAAAACCACAGAGGTTTATCAGGGATCTCCCCCTGCTTAAAATTACAATATTAAAATACAATGATTTTTTTAATTATTAAATAGTGATTTGATTTGTTACATTTTCAGATGTTTTAGCTTTTATCAAAGCACAACTTATTTTCAATCATCTTACAAGCACATTTCCAAAGATGTTGATTTGGAGTTGGGTGACAGAGACTAGAGTTGTCAATGAGAATTACAGGGGAATCTTATGATGAGATTAATCTAATTTGAAAGGCGAGCTTCACTGGATACCAATTGTGATTTGGACGCAGCGTAACCCACCCCTCAAGTGTCAAACAAGCCGACAACATAAAGAGGATAATTTGGAGGTTGTGTTTCTGTGTAAGTGAGTCACGGTATCATGCTGCTTGCGTCACTTTCACTTCATTGACCAATCCCTAAATGTTACAAACTCATTGCCTTTATCAAGATCTTGATTGCTTATAATGGAAGATGACGGCAGCTTCCACTCGCAATGAAATAAAATAGTTAACATTTAGGTTTTCATACAGTGAAAATGATTTCATGTACACACATGAAATAAGATGAGGTGAAACTGCCATTCAAATAATTCTATCCTGAATTCCTAAGATAATTTTGTTGGTAATGATAGGAAGAACAAGATCAAAACCAACCGAAAGAAAATAGCAATTTTAAATTGCTTAACCTGTTTTGTATGTCAGGTACACAGCATGTCTTGATTCTGTCTGTATTCTGACACCACATACATGCACAGGATATATTTAAATTGCATTGAATGTCCAAACACAGAAAAAAAAATTAACCAAAGATGCATTACTGAAATTTAGTACAAAAATGTGGTAATACTAATAAGTACCAGTGAAGGACCATTTTCAGCATAGAGAAATTTTGCTAAGCCCTGTTCACCTATACAAACATCATATGAAATGAACACACCAAATTTCAGCCATGATTCTTCATAGAGTTCTTCTACAATTCAAGTGAGACCAAATTAATCATCTCTCCTACAGCAATGCCTATATAGAGTCATTGTACAAAAACAAAACAAAACATTGTATAGTTTATGTCTGTCTAGTGAAGTTGGGGAGGGAGGGGGTAGTGGGGGAGTAAACAGTGCTATCTACCTGGATAAAGGTAAAAGCTACCAGATGTTGAGTTTAGATCCTGACCTGGATAGAACCATGTAGAACTTGAGACCTGATAGAGCTGCTTTGGATTAGACTTGGTATGTGAAACTTTATTCTTCTCTAGCTAGGTATACAGTCTGGCTATTCAGTCCTCATATCCCTATCATTGGACAAGTCTGGACCATAGACTATTTATCTTATCTAAATCAAACCATTTATCTGCCAGTTAGGCCTTGGGTGTGATCTAATGCATCTTCAGCTTTATCAATTTGTTGCTTACTTTTCTGAATGACCAAGTAATTTCAGTTATTTAGTTTAGATCAAGAGAATTGTAAAACCTGAAGACTTTGCATCACGAAACTTGCTCTGATACTGTTGATGACTGCTAGAGATGCAGCAAGGAGATTTCTGTGAATTATGAAAATTGTGTGATGAAATTGAATTCTTTTCATTTAAATCTCGGCCACTAATGGAATTCATAAAAGTATAATATACGTATACATTTCTTGTTTCCCTCCCTAGGCTTAACTCCACATTCCTTCCCTTGCCTAGTTTTTACATCTCAATGCTGATCAATGATTAAGAATGACAGCATGTTATATCTATTCAATCACATTCCATTACAAAACTTCTACCGACCTTTGCAAACAAGGTCAACGATCAAAGGTCAAAGGGGATGACCTCATGTTTATTTACATCACATCACATACTTGGCAAAATCCATTACATTTATCAAGGTCTATTTTCATTTGATAAAAAAACTAATCATCATCTCCCATTGATTGCATGACATTACAAACATGTCACTGCATTCTCTGGACTTCTGAGTATTAGCTTTGGAACACATCACAAATGATCACATTATCTGAAGGACAATGTGATTACTATGATGTCCCATGTGGACATTGAGTAGTAATCATTGCCATATCATAGATAAATTAGGAGCGAAACGGTAGCATAGGGTTGGAAAATGATCTGCAACGGATCAAAATTAAAAGGATGCTTTTGACGATTGCAGGGAAGGGTGCAGTAGATGAATTGCAGGTAATTAACCAATGGACATACATACAGGCATTTTTAGACCGATTTTACGACTCTTTTCTTTGATCGTGATCAATTTAAAACAATGGACCTGGCTGAAAATTAGGATCAAAGTCCTATGTACGTGATGCGGAGTAAATAAGGGATGACATGTTCATCAGCTCTGGTATGGTAATGACCAATCTCTTTATTTAACCTCTCACTACCAAGGCTTCTTCAAATCAAACAGTATGTCAAGATCGAGGAATGGGTCCTTTTCATTTGGACCAAACTGTCCAGAAAGAATATCAGATTTATATCTGTGTTACCTACATGTACGTGTAGCTTGTTTTTCAAACAAAGAGCATTATCATTGCTATACAATGAAAATGCCAAACACTGGTAATCTTATCTATTTTGTATATATATTCATGTACATTGGATGTCACTTCATCATCTATCAAGTCAATTTCAGTGCCAGACTGGTAAACAAAAAAACAAACTTAGTCCAGACTCGGCAAATGCGAAAGCAGTATAAGCCTAATATATGTATATCACAGAAGAGACGCAGTCTCTCTTGAAGGGTATGCAACTGAGCAGTAAGCGTGCAAAACATCAGCAGGCTGAGGCTACCATAAGGTCCCTTGCAGAGAGATGTCATTTCAATTGAATTACACATGCAATCACCAAATTCACCCCTCAAATACTCGCTCAATTGAAAATATCAAATTACTTCAAGGGTAGGAAGAAGGGTATAGAAACCTGAATACTTATGGGAGAATAGCCTTTGAATCAATACAGTCTGATTTACAAAGGGCACAGGCAGAAAGTGATAATAATTGAAGGCAAAATGTTTTGTCTGAAATGAAATAAAGGAAAGTAGTCAGACGCCCATACTACTTTACTTTATGAAACATATTTTTCAAAAAGGATAACAAACGCTTAAGGCTTAAGCCATAAATCAAATGCTCTCACAGCAACAGAAAGAAAATGCTACATTACTGATCGATCTTCAGTTTCTCAAAGTAACTCTGAATGATAATATAATGGAGGAGGTTAATGATGGTATATGAAGCATGATGATATGATTGAGTAAGAGTCAAGTCTCCATCCAACCCATCAAGTTAATGGACCAAAGAATAGTTCCAGTCTGCTTACTTCCTCGAAATTCAATCACCATCATATCAGCTATATTCACACTCAAAACCTCAGTCACACTGCCAAACAAACTCCACACCGAGTGCAAAATGACAGATTCTTGGTTATGACAGGTAATTTGGATATTTCATTTGGTGTGAATGGGGCACTATCACATCAACAAGCATTCACAAAGATTTAATGAGAAAAAAAAACATTCACATTCACACTTGCCTTATTGGCCACAAATTTTCATGAAATTTCTCTACATTTAGGGCAAAACCATTACCGGTATGCAAATTATTTATAAATATTTTCAGGGCTCCACACTCACTTTTTAAGAAAGGGTCCGAATTCAGATTGTTAGAGTTTGAATGCATAAGCTCTATGCACAAAATTGAAATAATGGGGGTCCAGACTGATATTTTGTTTGGGCCCCCATGTGTCCTGGGCACCTGCTCATGTCGAGCTCTGATATATTTATTTTTCTCTGAAAACCATTATGAAAGAAATTTTGAAAAAGTAATGTACTATGTCTGAATTTTAAAGAGTTTTCTTGAGAATAAAAACTTAGACAGTCTACTGCTAAAGATGGTTGTAGCAGTCATTTGTACTTATCATATCATATGTTGCATACTCTCGTTACCTATTCTGCATTATGGAATCATAATCATATTCACAGGACTGGAAAATGAAAGCAGACATTGCAGTCATGGGAAACCCTATGGAGAATGTGTTGATTTAACCACATCTAGCCAGACCATAGAACCACAATGAGAATTTCAGGAAACCATTTTGACAAACAACCTCTGTATTATTATTTTCTTTAAAACAAATCTTTGGGAATAGAAAGATCAATGGCCTTTACTCCTGCAAGGAATGTATGGTCATTCGGGATTGACTTTTTAATCACAGCAGCCTTTCCTTTTAATCTGAGATGAAAATAATATCTATTCATCTCAATTTATCTTGCTTACCATGGAAAGAAAAGGTGAGGGAGGTAGTTTATAAATCGATTTCCAAACCATTAAATCTAATTCTCATTTTGTTATAATTGAGAAATCCCCTAGAGGTCTCCATCCCAATGTGAATATACAATACAGTTATTGACCTTACTCAAATAAGAAGATTGTAGACCCCTTTGAGAGGTTTATCAGGAATAATAGGTGCCCTTGACGAGGCAGACAGATATGCACATATACCACATAGAACAGATGATGCAAACTGAATCCTAATGGACCGTTACATGAATACTAGACTCGGTGGACAGACTTTATTTGGAAATCAGGGAACATGAAGTCAGACGAAAATAAAGTTTGATGGAAACTTACATTAATAAGCATAGATGGAGTAAAGAAAATTGTGCTGCACCTTCAATTACTAATACACTGTACATATCAAACTCAACTA